TGACCTGTCTGTTTCCTCTCCACCTATCTTCTCCTTTATCCATCTTCTATCCACCTCCCCCTCTCTCCCTATTTATTTCAGAACCCCCTTCCCCTCCCCCATTTCTGAAGAAGGGTCTAGGCCCGAAACGTCAGCCTCTCTGCTCCTATGATGCTGCTTGGCCTGCTGTGTTCATCCAGCCCTGCACCTTGTTGTCTCATTGCCAATATTATTCTTGGGTCTTAACACAGCATCCATAAGTTGTCCTAGCTCCAGCAATGTAGAGAAGCCTAAGTTTTTTGTTTAATACTTTTTTATTTGATTTGATTTATTATTGTCACATGTACTGAGGTACAGTGAAAAGTTTTGTTTTGCGTGCAGTACAGCTAGATCATACCATACAATGTGCATAAGGGTAACAGAACAGGGCGAGGAATACAATGTTACAGCTGCACAGACGATGCACAAAGAGCAAGATCAACATTAAATTTGAAATTTGAAAGGTTTATTCAGAAAGTCTAATAACAGCGGGGAAAGAAGCTGTTCTTGAACCTGCCGGTACGAATGTTTAAGCTTTTGTACCTTCTACCCGACAGAAGAGATTGGAAGAGATTATAACCAGGATGGGAGAGGTCTTTGATTATGTTGGTTGCCTTTCGAAGCAGCGAGAGCACAGATGGAGTCAATGGTTGGGAGGTTGGTCTGCATGATGGACTGGGCTGTGTTCACATCTCCCTGTAGTTTCTTATGGTCCTGGGCAGAGCAGTTGCCATACGAAGCCATGATGCATCTGGATAGAATGCTTTCTATGGTGCATCTATAAAAATTGGTATGAGTCTTTACGGACATGCTGAATTTCCTCAGCTTCCTGAGGAAGTAGAGGCGTTGTTGTGCTTTCTTGACCACTACATTAACATGGGTGGACCAGGATAGATTGCCACTGCTAGGAACCTGATGCTCTTGACTATCTCCACCTCAGCTACATTGAGGTAGATAGAGGCGTGCCCTCCACCTTGCATCCTGAAGTCAATGATCAGCTCTTTTATTTAACTGATGTTGATGGAGAGATTGTTATCTTTACACCACGCCACCAAGCACTCTATCACTTTCCTGTATTCTGTCTCGTCATTGTTTCAGATTCGACCTACAACAGTGGTGTCATCAGTGAACTTGAGGTAGGATGAAATTTGGTCACACAGTCATGAGTGTACAAGGAGTATAGTAAGAGACTGAGTACACAGCCTTGTGGGGCACCGATGTTGAGGATTGTCGTGGAGGAGGTGCTGTTGCCTATCCTCACTGTGGTCGGTGGGTCAGTAAGTCGAGGATCCAGTTTCAGAGGGCAGAGCAGAGACCAAGTCTCAGAGTTGAGAGATTAGTTTGGTAATTATCATGTTGATTACAGTTCCGCCTTCAATGAGTAGGAGCCTGACGGTTATCCAAGCAATGGTCAAGGATGTTCAGTCCTCTGGTGTTTACTATAGTGCAGTTTAGCATCAGGTCTCAATTCTCAAGAACCCAAGTACATTTGCTATACGCTGAGCTAGCATGTTGGATTTAGTGGTGTACCTCCATCAATATCAGCATTTAGGTATCAATGACTTCTGAGATATGGGAATTGAGAGACATTTTCCAACATTTCATTGTGGTTTTGAATTGAGAGTATTGGATTTGAAAAATTTTAGTGTGGGTTGGTTGAGGACATTTGTCTTCCTGGTTTTCAGGACAAGTCCTGTGATTTCATAGACTTTGGTGAAAAAATAAATCAACTATCTGTTTAGTCCTTCATAGTGAGCGCTAACTTGTGCATTGTCAGCTTACAGTAGTTTAATTACAGAGGTGGTCTTTGTCTTGATTTAGGTTGAACAACTTATGATCCGAATGATACGTTCTTACCAAATCTGGGAAGCCTGTCAGTAAGGAAGCTTCAGTGTTGCTGCATGAAATATTAAGAATGGTGCCGGCGAATCTCACAGGCCTAGTCAACAACTGTATTGACAATGAAAAGGACTGTGGGAGACCAATTTATCATACTGTTATTTGCATATTGCCATGCAGAAGGCAGAAGACCTTTTGTGAACCTATCTGGGTAACCACGTCACTACAGCACCTTAAGGGCAGTTTGATTCAAAGGCAGTTTGATTGAGTTAAAGGCTCTGTGAGATTGAAGAGGCCCATGTACAAACAGATGACTGTTCTCTACATTTTGCCTGAAGTTGTTGTGCTATCATTTGTTTATCTGACAAGTTGGAAGCCACAGTGGGACACTGGAAGAACTTCCACTGCAATTAGTGAAAAGAACAAAGAACAAGAAAATTACAGCACAGGAACAGGCCCTTCGGCCCTCCAAGCCTGCGCCGATCCAGATCCTCTATCTAAACCTGTCACCTATTTTCCAAGGATCTGTATCCCTCTGCTCCCTGCCCATTCATCTATCTGTCTAGATACATCTTAAATGACGCTATTGTGCCCGCCTCTACCACCTCCACTGGCAACGCATTCCAAGCATCCACCACCCTCTGCGTAAAGAACTTTCCACGCATATCTCCCTTAAACTTTTCCCCTCTCACCTTGAATTCGTGACACCTAGTAATTGAGTCCCCCACTCTGGGAAAAAGCTTCTTGCTATCCACCCTGCCTATACCTCTCATGATTTTGTAGACCTCAATCAGGTCCCCCCTCAACCTCCATCTTTCTAATGTAAATAATCCTAATCTACTCAACCTCTCTTCATAGCTAGCGCCCTCCATACCAGGCAACATCCTGGTGAACCTCCTCTGCACCCTCTCCAAAGCATCCACATCCTTTTGGTAATGTGGCGACCAGAACTGTACGCAGTATTCCAAATGTTGTCGAACCAAAGTCCTATACAACTGTAACATGACCTGCCAGCTCTTGTACTCAATACCCTGTCCAATGTATGAAAGCATGCCGTATGCCTTCTTGACCACTCTATCCACCTGCGTTGCCACCTTCAGGGTACAATGGACCTGAACACCCAGATCTCTCTGTGCATCAGTTTTCCCCAGGGCTTTTCCATTTACTGTATAGTTCGCCCTTGAATTGGATCTTCCAAAATGCATCACTTCGTATTTGCCTGGATTGAACTCCATCTGCCACTTCTCCGCCCAACTCTCCAATCTATCTATAGTCTGCTGCATTCTCCGACAGTCCCCTTCACTATCTGCTACTCCACCAATCTTAGTGTCATCTGCAAACTTGCTAATCAGACCATCTGTACCTTCCTCCAGATCATTTATGTATATCACAAACAACAGTGGTCCCAACACAGATCCCTGTGGAACACTACTGGTCACAGTTCTCCATTTTGAGAAACTCCCTTCCACTACAACTCTCTGTCTCCTGTTGCCCAGCCAGTTCTCTAGCCATCGAGCTAGTACACCCTGGACCCCATGCGACTTCACTTTCTCCATCAGCCTACCATGGGGAACCTTATCATATGCCTTACTGAAGTCCATGTATATGACATCCACAGCCCTTCCCTGATCTATCAACTTTGTCACTTCCTCAAAGAATTCTATCGAGTTGGTAAGATATGACCTTCCCTGCACAAAACCATGCTGCCTATCACTAATAAGCCCATTTTCTTCCAAGTGTAAATAGATCCTATCCCTCAGTATCTTCTCCAGCAGCTTCCCCACCACTGACGTCAGGCTCACCGGTCTATAATTACCTGGATTATCCTTGCTACCCTTCTTAAACAAGGGGACAACATTAGCAATTCTCCAGTCCTTCGGGACCTCACCCGTGCTCAAGGATGCTGCAAAGATATCTGTTAAGGCCCCAGCTATTTCCTCTCTTGTTTCCCTCAGTAACCCGGGATAGATTCCATCCGGACCTGGGGACTTTTCAACCCAATGCCTTTTAGAATACCCAACACTTCCCCCCTCCTTATGCTGACTTGACCTAGAGTAATCAAACATCTATCCCTAACCTCAACATCTGTCATGTCCCTCTCCTCAGTGAATACTGACGCAAAGTACTCATTAAGAATTTCACTCATTTTCTCTGACTCTTCGCATCAGTTCCCTCCTTTGTCCTTGAGTGGGTCAACCCTTTCTCTAGTTACCCTCTTGCTTAGATGACTAAGAAGTAACCTAGCTATGATTTCACATTGTTCTGCCCCTATAGTTACTATAGTTTGACTTGTGTCCTTTCTTGAATATTATAACCATTATAATATCTGAAGTATCACATGGAATTTCTTCATTCTGCTGGAGCTTCACAAATAGGGCCTGTTTAATCTCCTCAAAGCTTCATGCAGAGATATTATCAGAACTAGAAACATTGTTTTTCATTGGGTTGATAGCACCTATTACTTCATTGAGCAATAAGTCATCGGCTCATTACATCTTTATGAAAGTAGTAGGAGATATTTCATGTCTGGTAGATGACAACAGTGGAGATCTGTTTGGAAAGTGCTACAAAGTGTTCTTTCCAGGGAGTGTTAATTTTTTTCAGGAGAGACTTTCTATCTTTGAATTTTACTGGTGTTAGTCTATGTTGAGGGTTCTTAGAATTCTTAGATTACTTTAGAAAAGGCTTGCATGTCAATAAGCAATTGAATTTCTTCACTCTCCTCTGTCCATAATTACTTTTTAAATTGCCGGTTTCTTCTTTAAACTTGCATTTTGTCTGTATGGTAGGTGAACTATTCTTCTTCTATGGAGTTTGAATCTGGTTGCAAGGTTTGGAATGCTGTCTGTTTGTCGATGAGTTTACATATGTTTATATCAAAGACTGTACAGCTACCTCAATGTTCTTTAATTTGTCTGTTTTAATAAGGGCCATTTCTAGACATCACAGCTCACAGTATACTGTCTATTTCTTTGCACTCTCTTTTTCTCTGTTTCACGTGACACAAGGTTGATATCTTGTATAGAAATTACCAATGTAAATCTTCCAGGTCACACTGTGTTTATGTTGAAATTGCAAAAGTTTTATTCATTAAGATAAATTACATGAAGCCAATTGAAAATGTAAAATATTTTCCTTTGTAGGTTCACATAAAGTTTGATCAATCAAGAGTTCTTCTAACTGAGAATTTGATGGTAAGAAATAATCAACATTACTGAGGTAGAATTTGATTTTCCTATTTTAGACCACAAATTTATTTTGCTGTTGAAAGATTGTAAAGCCGGCACAGCGGCATGTATTATCCATCCCTGGTGGCTGAAGGTCTTAAGAATTTCTTGATCCTCAGACCAGTCAGGAGAGTCAGGTCAGCTTCTTTGGGTTTTAAGGATCCATTATTTTTCATGGTGTTAACTACTAATGTACTTGCTCTATTAAATTTACTTTTGCAAGTTATGGTGTGATTTGAATTTCATATTGTGACACTTTTTTGTCTTGTACTGTAACTGCTGCACTACCCAGGTTCAATGAATTAGCAAGAGTGAACTATAAATAGCGACTTGCAGTATTGGAGCATTGGGAGGTATTCGAGGGTGGAGTGTCAGAGGGTTTGGAGTAAATGCGTCAAACAAAGAAGGGTGGGATAACCAAATCTAGATGGTGCCTGGATATCAATGAGTATGTAGGGTAAGATGAGACAGGAAAGGAAAGATTTTGTGAGACACCAAGAACTAAGTAGTGCAGAAGGCAAAAAGGAATCTAGAAATCCAAATGGAAATAATGAAGACAAAGTGAGAGCATGAAAGAATATCAGCAAACATAAACAAGGAGAACCCTTTAAAAGTAAGCGAATACATTTAAGAGTAAGGATCATAGGTTACCTTTTGGTCTTTTATGTGTAGAGGTGGAAGATGTCAGTATGGTTCTGAATTAATATTTTGAATCTGTCAACACAAAATGGGGGGGTGATGCAGGGATTGTACTTGGGGAGGAGGTTTGTGAAATGTTAGATATGATGAACATGAGGAAAAGGGAATGTTAAGGGAATTAGACCCATGAAAATGGCTAAACAACAGGATCAGATAAAATGGAACAAAAACAGAAGTTGCTGAAAAAGCTCAGCAGGTCTGGCAGCATTTGTGAAGAGAAATCAGAGTTAACATTTTGGGTAAATGATCTTTCCTCAGACTTGATGGTAGGTATGAAAATGTTGGTTTATATGCAGCAGTGCGGGGAGGTTCAGGAGTAAATGATAGGTGGGATATAGCCCAAAGAGAGAGAATGTCCTTTAGGGAAGGAAACTGACATCCTTCCCTGGTCAGGCCTACACGTGACTCCAGGCCCACAGTAATGTGGTTGACTCTTAACTGCCCTCTGGGCAATTAGGGATGGGCAATAAATGCTGCCTAGCCAGCAACGCTCATATCCCGTGAACGAATAAAGAAAAAAAAGAACAGTTAGACAGACAAAGGAGTGTATAATGATCTGGCTAGGAGGGTGAATAGTTGTTCATGGATGCTGTTAGTGGCTAACAATACATAGTGTGTAATGGCAGGCTATGTGATAACAAGGCCTGTTGTGTGGGTAGGGTACGAGGTCATGGGGGAGTTCAGGCGCTGAAATTATTGAACTCGATATTGAGTCCGGAGGCCTGCGGGGAAATGAGGTATTGTTCTTTCAGCTTGCGCTGAGCTTTGCTGAACACTGCAGCAAGCCTGAGACAGAAATGTTGGCCACGGAACAGGGTGCCGTGTTAAAGTGGCAGGCAACGGGTAGTTCAGGGTCTTTTTTGTGGGCAGAACGTAGATGTTCTATGAAGCGGTCACCCAGTCTATGCTTTATTTTCCCAGTGTAGAGGAGACCACATTGTGAGCAACGAATGCAGTAGACTAGATTGTGGGAAGTGCAGGTAAAGTGCTGCTTCACCTAGAAGGTATGTGTGGGCCTTTGGATACTAAGGAGGGAGGAGGTAAATGGGCAGGTGTTACCCCTTCGGCAGTTGCGGGGGAAGGAGTTGTGGGGCATGTGTTGTTTAGAGCGAAGGAAGAGTGGACCAGGGTGTTCTGGAGGGAATGGTCCCTGTGGAAGGCGGACAAGTGAGGGGAGGCGAATATGTGTCTGGTAGTGGCATCTCACTGGAGGTGGTGGCAATGGTGACTGATGATCTTCTGGATGTGGATGCTGCTGGGATGGTAGGTAGGGACAAGGGGAACCCTGTCGCTGTTGTGGAGGGAAGAGGAAGTGCAGGAGATGGGTCGGACCCAGTTGAGGGCCCTGTCAACAATTGTGCTGTGGAATCCTCGGTAAGGAAGAAAGTGGACATTTCGGAGGCCCCTTTATTGAAGTTGGCCTCATTGGGGTTCATATGTGATCGAGATGGAGGAACTGGGAGATTGGACTGGAGACTTTACAGGAAGCAGGGTGCGAGGATGTATAGTCCAGGGAGCTTTGGGAGTCGGTGGGTTTATAGCAGATATTAGTGGCCAGTTTATTCCCAGAAATGGAAACAGATGTCAAGGAAGGGAAGGGAGAAGTCAGAGACAGATGAAAGTGAGGGCAGGGTGGAAATTGGAAGCGAAATTGATGAACTTTTCCAATTTTGGACGAGAGAGGAAAGCAGCACTGATAATATCACTGCTATATCGGAGAAAGAGTGTGGGTGGGGCCAGAATAGGACTGGAACAAGGAATGTTCCACATACCCCACGAAGAGACAGGCACAACTGGGGCCCATGTGGGTACCCAGGGTCTAATTCAATGCGTTTGTTGGGAGTTCTGGTTGGAATACCAGGCCTCCAGGAATTCTCTGGCATGTCTCTGTTTGTGCGATTATGCCTAAAAACCACACACCCATAATCGCACAAGCCAAACAGAGACATGCCAGGGAATTCCTGGAGGCCTGGTATTCTAACTGGTACTCCATCAACAAACACATTGAACCGGACCCGATATACAAACCACTGAGAATCAGAACTGGAAGTAATAGCAACCACCCCAGCAAACTGAAGCATATAAATAACAAGCAGGACAGAACACCGATGCTTCACTGAAGGTGTACTGACAATGCAAGGTGATGAAACGTTTGCAACCAAACCCACCGGCTCGGCTATATGTCTACAACCTCGAAAATGAGAGGAGTTAAAAGAGAAGTTGTTGGGGGTGAGGACTAGCTTGGCCAAGCAGAAGAGGGTGGTGATGGGTGGGGACGGTTCAGGCATTTGCTCCAGGAAGAAGCAGAGAGCCCTGAGACCCTCCCTGTGGGGGATGGACGTGTAAAGGGATTGCACATCTGTAGTAAAGATGAAATGCACCCCAGGTTGTTAAAAGAAGTCAGGTTGGGAATAGGAAAGGCTCTGACCATCATTCAACAATCCTCAACTGGATGCAGGTTTGGTGCCAAAGGCCTGGGGAACAGCTGGCGTTGTTACTTTGATTAAAAATTGAGAAAGGGCTAGACTGAATAATTGCAGGCCAGTCAGTCAGGCCTCAACAATGGAAAAATTATTGGAATCAATTCTGAGAGACAGGATAAACTATTACTTCAGCTTGAAATAATCAAAGACAAGCAGCATGGATTTGTTAAGGATAAATCACATCCGACATTGTTTCCTCAGAAAAAACAGGGAGAATTGGAGGGTAGCCACAGATTGGTTACAAGAATAAAAGTTGATGGTACCAAGTGCTAGTAATTGAAATTAAATTGACTGGTTTGTTTATTGGCAAGCGCAGACAGAATTGGCGAATAGCCTCCTGGTCTTTTCTAAATTTTCTTGTACATTTTCTAAATATTATAAATATCTAAAGATGAAGAATGTGTGGGGATGTGAAAAAATTGTGTGGCTGCGGTCGAATATGAATTGTTCCTGTGGGAACAGCACTAACATGATGGGTTGAATGGCCTTTTTGAGCTGCAACAATTCAATGATTCTATGAATTAAGAGGGCCATGTCAACATAGCAATCAATTTTTCTCGATCATTTTAATTTGAGCAGAGAGCCAACTCAATTAACTTTTTCTTCAAAACATTAACTGGGTCTTGTATGATGTCAAAAAGAGTTTGTTGGAACTCGAAACAGAGTTCCACTTGCTATGACTGGAGAAAGTTGTGAAACAAACAAAATATGTTTGGTGTTCCAATCTATAACAGCCTCAGATCAATAATATCTGGCTGTCCTTGCTCTTAACAATGTGTTTATATATTAAATGTTAATCGATTCTGCTAATTTGATGAATGTATCATTGCCAAATTGAGTTGATTATTTTAGTTCACTTGCTGATGAGGTGTGGATGTCATTGGCTGGGTCACTATTTATTGCCCATCACCAGTTGCCTTTGAGAAGGTGGTAGTGAGCTGCCTTCTTGAACCGCTACAGTCCACGTGCTGTAGATTGATCCACAATGCCCTTAGGGACGGAATTTCAGGATTTGACCCAGAGTCAGTGAAGGAACACTGATATATTTCCAATTCAGGATGGTGACTGGCTTGGAGATGAACTTGCAGTTTGTGGTGTTCCCATGTATCTGCCGCCTTTGTCCTTCTACATGGAAGTGGTCATGGGTTTGGAAGGTGCTGTCTAAGGATTTTTGTCGAATTTCTGCAGTGCATCTTGCTACACATCACTACTACTGAGCATCGATGGAGAAGGGAGTGGATGTTTGTGACTGTGGTGCCAATCAAATGGGCTGCTTTGTTGTGGTTGGGGTCAAGCTTCTTGAGTGTTGATGGAGCTGATCCCATCGAGTCAAGTGGGGAACATTGCATCACACTCCTAACTTATGCTTTGTAGATGATGGGCAGGCTTTGGGGAGTCAGAAGGTGAGTTACTCACCGCAGTATTCATAACCTCTGACCTGCTCTTGTAGCCACTGTACTTGTATGGTTCAGTTGAGTTTATGGTCAGTGATAGTCCCAGGATATTGATAGTGGGGAATTCAGTGATAGTAATGCCATTGGATGTCAAAGGAGAGAGGTTAGATTGTGTCTTATTAGAGATGGTCATTGCCTGGCATTTGTGCGTCATGCAAGATTGTTGCTACATTTCAGCTCAAGCCTGGATATTACATCTTGTTGCATTTGGACATGGACAGCTTCAGTATCTGAGGAGTCACAAATGGTATTGAACATTTTATAATTATCAGTGGACATCCCCGCTTCTGAGCTTATGATGGAGTGAAGGTCATTGATGAAGCAGCTGAAGATGTTTGGGCTTAGGACACTACCCTGAGGAACTTATGCAGAGATGTCCTGGAGCTGAGATGACTGACCTCCAAATCCACAACCATCTTCCTATGTGCCACATATGACTCTGACCAACAGAAAATTTGCCTCCTGATACCCATTAATTCCAGTTTTGCTAGGTTTATTAAGAATTAAACTTCCGGGCGTTTTAACAGACAAGATTCAATGGCATGACCATACTAGATTGTACATTAATTATTGCAGACATTTACCCAAATAAGGAGTAAACATTTTGCAATATTTTTGTTTATCTTATAGCTATTCATTCCATCGGAAAACTAAATTGCTACTTTGGAGGCACTGACCCACATGTTACATAAAACCCACAGGACATTCAGCCCAACTGGTTTATACTGTTGCTCATACTCCCATTTCAGCATCCTCCCACACCTAATTATCACTTCCTATCCTGTATCCCTTTATTTCTTTGTCCCACATGCATGTAAAAAACACTCCATATTCCATGGCATGTGATGAATTGTAGGTGGATTTACCATGTTGTTGTAATGCTAAATCATCTTATTTGTTAATTCACAGGCAGTTGAGTACTTACTCAAGATACCTTTACCTCACAACTTACAAATGCTTTATGGTCCTTACCTTGTGAATAAATTTGAACTTGGCCGGACCTACCTTGCCATCAAACTTGCAGCAACAATAAACCACATCCCGGAAAAGGCACCATTTCAATGTTCAACTGATTCAACAAATTCTGATGAAGGTAATTTCATAGAATATATACGATAGTATTTTTGATAAATGCTTATTAACTATTATGTAGAATTACATCTTCGCAGCACAGAAGCTGGTTATTTTGCATTCAGGTAGATAGCAGTAATTATGTTGTACACAAGCAACCTCCCATTCTAGTTAGAGATATTGGTTCAGATTTTCGACTGAGGTCTCCAACTTCTGAAACTCAAGCCTACCTCTGAAGCTCATGCCTGCCATATTTAAGCTCTGAGAGATGTGGGTGGGGCAGGGTGCAGTTTTGCGAAGTGTATTGTAGTGTGGGTGTTGTGGTGGACTAGTTAGAAGGCCTACCTCATTTCTTGGAGAGAGCAACACAGCTATATGCTTATACTCCCAAAACCTTATGCATCACATCCATCCCACCGCCTACCCTGCCTCTTAAATGTACACAAAGTGACACGATGTGTTTAATAGATCCCCTAAAGATTGGTATTTCATGGTATAAATGACTCAAAGAATACAGAGCCATGTATCCAAGCTGGCTTCCGGCACTCATCATCATTTTACTGTCCTTGTATTCAAGGACATTATATTTGGCCTTTTGATTGTCCTGCCCTGGAATGTTAGTCATTTGAACGCTGCTAAAACAGGACTTGGCAAGGGAGCTAGTTTCAGCCAGCTGAACATCTGTCCAATTTAATGCATCAATCTTGCAGGAGTTATTATCCTTTGGGTTCCTATAACAAGGAATTGATCTTAACAACCATACACATATTTAAAGTTACAGGAACAGGAATTCACCTTCTAACTCCCATAAACCTGACCACCAGCTACAAAGCACAAGTCAGGAGTGGGGAAATATTTGTTGTATGAGGGCACAAGGGTTTGAAATGATTAATGCTAAGGGGATCCTCAAGCACTGCTGAACATGATGATATAAGGACTTGATGGGAGACCTGCTTAAGATCACAAAGAAATAAGACCAAATATCTGAGTTTTCCTCATAGTCTCTACAACGCTGTTTATGCAACAACTACGTCTTGTTTAAGACAAGAGTCTCCTTTTATTAGCCTGCCGAGTGGTTTTCTATCTGAGAAAGGATGGTGGCAGCAGATCTTATAGGGAGCAGGTAGTACAGAGTGATGGGCATCTTCAAAATTGGGAGGTGAGATATTTCTATTAGGCATGAGTATATGAGGTAAAGGCAGGTAAACACAGATCAGAAATGGTCTAATGGAATGATGGAAAAGGTTTGCTGGCTGAATGGCCTCCTTTGTGTGAGCTCAGAGCCACTGAGTTGCAGCAGGACGCTCATTCAGTTTTAAGGCTCTTGCTCAAAATGGACTGATCCTCTGACTGGAATGGAGGAGCAACAGTTCTATCCACCCATTCCAGATTAAGTTTAGGATATACCCAATGTATCAAATTAAACCGCCATCACTTATTTTACCCTAGTTTATCTTGAACATAGCCTCAGACACCATGGGTAGAATCTTCAGGCCCACATAATAAGTTGGGAAGCCTTAAAATGAGTAATTTCTTTTCAGTGCTAGTCTCCAACGCCATTCTGCTTCTGGGTCAAATGCATTCTGGACAGGATGACCTGTGGGCATCCTTCCCATCCCACCTCCATGTAAGACCCTCAAGTGACCAATTAATGACCATTTAATAGCTACTAAGGGCCTCTTCTCCCCTGGGCTGCAGTATTCCCAGCTTCAGCTGGGCCTTCCAAAATGTCATCTGTACACTGGATAAACAGTACGGGGATGGGGACAGAGTGGCTATTCCGCAATATGCACTAATTAGGTGCATGAATTAGGGTGTGGATATGATAGTTTCTGGTAACACACCTCTTGTTGGTATACAAGCACCACAGTCAGCTTCATCCCATGATGTCCACCATACAAGAGTGCCCAAACCCACTCCTGCCGTGCACAATACTTGCTTCGTCCCTGGGTTACTCCTTGATCACAACAAGGGGTGTGGTACTGGCAGGAGCCATGACTACCTCCCTGGCACTGCTGAAGGCTAGAAATTTGGTCTCTGATTGGCAGATCCAGGTGGGCAGGACATCATGTCCTGGGTACCATAGAAACAAAGAAAATAAAAGCAGGAGTCGGCCATTCAGCCCTTCAAGCCAGCTACACTATTCATTGCTGATCATTACCCTATTCCTGCTTTCTCCCTGTAGTGATTGTAACAAGGTCAGCCAGGTGACTCTCATAGAATGAGTTCCCTGATTGGGGCTGTTGGTCTGGTCCAATCAGGGAGCACTGGGTGGCACCTAAGAACAGGAGTGTCAGATATCCTGTTCACTCTGACAGCTTGCTCTGGGAGATCTGGCTCAGTGTTAAGGACTCTCCACACGTAAATAAAAGGTTACTTGGTGATGGGATACCAGCCACTGTGGAGTTATTTCACTGACAACGGGAGTGGGATTAATGATGTAATTATACAAAAGGGCCTACTAGCTGAAGCCCCACTTCATACAAGGCACTACAACTGGCTTTATCATTGGAAAATGTGGCAAGTGGAACATGAGTTGCAGGGTATTCCGACGGAAATTTCCTTTTAAAATCATTGATCATCTTCCATCCTACTACCCTGATAGGTAATAGGTTCCAGATCTTTATGACTTCCTGCAAGGAACCAGACGGCCAGCATTCCAAAAAAAGGGTTAGATGCCATCCTTGCCTGCCTGACTGCAGCTGCAGCCACACACCGCCCAGCACAAGGATATCCCCTGCACAATAGGGCTGAAAAATATATTTTCATTTAAACTTTATGAAGGTTGGAAGAAGGGTACCTTTACTTTGAAGCTCCCTCTGCCTCCCATTGCACCCTATTGCTGCTTGGGGAACACAGCAAAACCTCAAAGCCAAGCCTTGGCCAAATGTTGAAAATTTTCTTCAGGATCCAGTCTAGCGAGCCTTTGTAGTTACTGCCAGTATACGGGCTTAAGATAGCAAAAGAGTCCCACTAAACCTAAACTGAGTTAGAGAATTCATAGGTCGGTGTACGGGAGAGTGCGCACCCTGGAACGTCCACCAACGTCTGGTTTGGAATAGTTAAATTACTCAGCTACATTCAAATCAGAACCAATCCAACTACCGGAGCTGAGGTCTTTCCTTGGGCTGTTGAATTATTATGGAAAGGTCTTGTAATGTGCCCTTCATCATGGTACCTTTGCATCAACTCTTTACAAAAAAAGGATCAGTCTTGGAAATGGTTGTAAAGCCAAGCCATAGCTTTCATGGAAATGAAGAAACAGCTTTCATCCTCTAAGGCGTTGCACACCATGATCCCAAGTGAGATCTGGTATCCCTGTACGTCATTGGGGTAGTATTAGTTCATACGTGGCCCAAAGGAGAGGAGCGCCCAATAGCATATCCTTCTAGACTTTGGCTAATGCGGACCCTAAATACGCCCAGATAGATAAGGAAGGTTTGGCAGTTATATTTGGAGTCAGGAAGTTCCACCAGTACCTTTACGGATGCATATTTGTAATAATAATGCACCACAAACCCCTGCTAGGTCTACTTAAAGAGGACAAGGCCGCCCAAAGCTTCAGGCTGAATTACTGAGTGCGTATAATTGCAAGTTGGAACACTGTCCAGGAGGCCAAGTAGCAAATTCGGATACATTGGGCCTGGTAGAAACACCACCAGTACTGGAAGAGTCTGTAACAGTTTTAAAGTTTCTGGACGCACTTTGAGTCACAGCTGACAATATCAGACATTGGATGCAGAAGGATCCATTCCTGGCAAAACTGGAACAGCTGGTGGTGATGGGGGAAACCCAAAGGGCTGTCACAACCAGAGTTGAAATGTTTTTGGACCTGGAATGACCAGGTCACAGTAAAGAATGGCATATTATTATGGGGAGCAAGAGTGATTGTCCTGAGCAAAGGTCACTCCCAGATCCTGGCCGAACTCCACCAGGGTCATCTGGGGGGTTTCCAAAATGAAGATGTTGGCAAGAAATTATCTCTGGTGGCCAGGATTGGCATAGCTGTGTTGGTGGACAGTGCCCAAAGTGCCAACGAGGACAAAAATTACCACTAGCAGCTCCTCACATTTGTGGGGAATGGATGGGTAAACCTTGAACTTGGTTACATGTTGACAATATCGGTGCTTTCATGGGCTGAACGTTCTTAGTCATTGTGGACACCCACTCAGAATGACTGGACATGCATTGGGTTCATTCGTCAAACATGCAGACAATGACAGAAAAAACTGCTCGCATCTTTTGCAATACACAGACTCCAGGATGTGTTAGTCTTAGGTAATGGGCCATCGTTTACTTGCAGGAAATTTGAGTATTTATTAAAGTCGAATGGCATTCAACATACACGGACAGCTCCATACCATCCATCATCCAATAGTCTGGCACAAAGAGCAGTCCAAACTTTGAAGGCAGGCTTAAAGAAACAGCTGACAGCTTCACTCGATACCAAACTGTCCCAGTTCCTATTTGATTAGAGGATTACCCCTCATGCAACTACAGGGATAGTTCCAGCCGAGTTGCTAATGGGGAGAAGACTCCATACTGGCTTAAATCTGATCATCCCAGGATCTGAGGCGGAGGGCAAAACGGCATCAGGAATGCCAATGCTGGACACAAGACTCCGCTAAGTGAGAGAAACAGCTTACTTCAGGGGACGAAGTTTGGTGTAGCACTACAGGAATGGCTCCATGTGGGTAAGAGGCATGGTCAATGCGAAATCAGGTACAGTGACATATAAAGTTTGGGTCTGTGCGACAGTCCTGAACAAGCACGTGGACCATGTGAAAGCTGCAAATGGTGTGGGAGCAAAATGTACCCACCTCCTTGACAGCCTTTCTTACTGTTCTGGAACCCATGGGTTCTCCCCCTCCATCAAGCGTTGATGATACCTCAGAATCTGAGATGGACACTGTGGATGTCGCTGCCTCAATGCCTTTGCTGCCTGAAGAACAGAATGAGTTTCTTCTGAGACCCTTCAGGCACAAGAGGCAAGCTACTGTGTGTAACAAGCCACCTGTATCA